GGAGCAGACACAAGGCTCCTGCTCACATTATCTCTCTGCAGGCACAGATCCAGCTCCTGGCTGGCACCAGCCCTTGAATGAGATAAGAAATAATTGTGCCGGTCTCCACACACGGATTCAAATGCAAATGAGCAGCTTTAAGATTAATGAAGTTTCTTTTATAAAACGCTGTCATTAGCCAAACCATTATTCTCCTTCCGCCTGGAATTTCACACAGATCAAGTGCTCATCACCATGCAGAGCCCTCCCAGCCTACCGGAGATGACAATGCAGGTGTCTTTGGATCGTCTCTTCATGGCTTTGTAAGCAGCATCGGCGATAGCGAACAGGTGGGGAGGCCTCTCATAGAGCTCCCTGCCCTTGTACTGCTCGATCATGTCCCGCCCGTAGATGTTGAGGTTCTTGTAAGGATTCATGGAAACAACCACCTCCCCGATGAAGGTGTAAATCCGGCCCTTCTCGAACCTGCCCAGAGCACACAAAAGGCAGAAATCAGACACGCAGAGGTTCAGGACAGGCTGCCCGGGCCATCGGGTGAACTCTTCCATCCATCACCCTGTGGAAACACGACAATCAAACCCTGGCTCTGGACATTCCCCAGCAGGGATCGCACAGCAGCAGAGACCCGAGGGGACAAGGACAGCGACCCAGGGCTGGCTCCGAGTTCCACCACTACAAAGGACATTTCTACCTCTGTTTCACTTCCACACATGTGATATGGAATTTACAGCTTCTATAACTGTTCACTGTAATAAATGAACAGGAGCGTGAGGAGCAAAGATAATCTGCTTCATAAAAGGGATTTACAGGCAAATTCTTTTCCACATTCCGTAGTTCTCCATGGCCCAGCTCAGACCAGAGGAGCAGAAGTTCTGAAGCCCTCACTGAGAGGTCTAATCACACTTGTAAGTAAACAAAGACAGAAGCCCAGGAGAGAACTGCAGCCTCTCAGCTTTAGCAATGAGTCCTTTTGGCTGGAAGGCACTTTGGTATCATCACTGCTGCTACAACAGAGAGGAAACATTTCTAAGAATGTGTGCAAACAACCCTAAACTACACCATTCCTGTCCTTACCTGGTTCTTTGATTCTTTCTGCAAACAACACAGTTATCACTTGATGTTAGTTTAAAAAAAAATGCTTGAGTTAGAAGATGTTTCCAAACAAACTCCTTTTTTATTGAAAGTTACCCATGAGGAGAGCTCAGAATAATTCCAGATTAACAGCTGAGGAATCCACATAGCATTTGTTTCTCAGGAGGAGAAAGGACAACAGATTTAGGGATCCACACACAAACCCTGCATTTCCAGCGCCAATCCCTGTCTGCAGCTGTATTTAAACCTCAGGACATTAGATGGCACCAGAACCCCTCCACAGAGCCCGGGAGCCTCGAATCCTGATGGTCTCAGGCACAAATTCGAACATTACTTTATTGAATTTATTACCACCCCCATGTGGTGACAGCCCTGACATTTTCTATTGTTCATTTGAGAATTTTCTGCAGCATCTTGGCAGCATCAGTTTTTAGCAGGTGTAATAAAACTCAAGAAATATCATCCAGCAGCCAGCATTCCACTTTCTAGAAGTGTTGGTGCCTCCCACTCCAGCTTCCTCCTGGAATACTGCACTGGGAAAACACGAGAATTGCAAAACATCCTCTTGTTCCTTCATCACTTTTATCTGAAGGTGTCCTGATATGCATTTCCCAAAACAACAACGAGCTTAAAATGCAAACATATTTTACATTTTTGAGATATATGCTGTTTGAAAGGCACCAGTAATGTTTTAGAAAATATAAGGTCAACATAATTAGCAATACCAATACCTCTAATTTTAATTTTTTTGAAGATCTTGAACAGGTAGAAGTGCAAAGGGATTGGATACCAGGCTGGGAGCCCAAGAGGGACTCTGCATACACAGAGGAGAGCTTGAAAAACCAAACCCACACAACACTGTTGGTATTAAGAAGATCAAGTCACACTGGGACATCAATATGTAATGGAAACCACAAGAACATCACAATGAGCAGAATCATTCCCACCCTCTGGAGATGGACACCTGAAAAAGGTGAGTTGCCCAAGGGAGAACACTGAGCCTGCTCCCCCAAGTCCCTGCCCACAGTACACAACTGCTGCTTCAAGCACTGCTGATGCTGAACACAAAGATCCAGCAGATTATGGATGAGGTTTTAAGCCCCGTGAGCAGCTGGAAGGTTCATGGCCACAGAGAGGGTGAGGGGGGTTGTTTTAGCTGGGGAGAAATAAAGAAATAAAGGCCATTCCTGCTACAGTGTCATGCCAAGCACAGCACCCAATACTCTGACCTCTTCCTTAAGTAATGAATTATGTAAACTTGCATTGCCAGAGCCCAGTTTAAGTTTCCTCCTGTGACAGTTCAGCATCCCTGAGTGAATCATAGAATCAGGGAATGTCCTGAGTGGGAGGGGACCCTCAAGGATTATCCAGTCCCACCCCTGGCCCTGCACAGACACCCCAACAATCCCAGCCTGAGCATCCCTGGCAGCACTGTCCAAACTCTCCTGGAGCTCTGGGAACCATTCCCTGGGGAGCCTGGGCAGTGCCAGCACCCTCTGCCTCTGAGCAGAACCTGCAGATGTGGCCCTGCCAGCCTGGCCACAGGGGCTCCAGCTGGGCTGCTGGCACAGGCAGCAGGCTCACATCCTGCCTGCCACTTCCCCACAGCTCAGCTCAGCTGACAGATCCCACACTGGGCCTCCCAGCCAAGTTCTAGAAGGTTTTACTGGGCTCTAGTGAGCTGTGCCTTCAGCTCTGTGGCAAAAGCAGATGGAGATGACAGGGAAGAAAGATCTGTCTCCAGGCTTGACAAAAAGGCACCTCTCCAGCCTGGCTTTGGGGATACAGAGTTACGAACAAGTGACGCCCCCATTTACATCTCAGTTCATTTCTCTTTATTTCCTAACACCAGAGTTAAAATCACAGAGTTGTGCTGAGATGTTCCCCCCAGGAGCTCCAGCTCCTTGCCCCTGCTTGCTGATAAAGCCCCTTTTCATCCCTGAGTGTGGCTCAGCACAGCAGCAGGCCAAGAACAGCAGGGCCTCTCTTCCTGCAAGGCTCCACTGGGAGAGCTGGGTCTGCCTTGCCCATGGAGAGCTCAGGAAAGCTTAAGAAAACAACTCAGGAGGGCAGTGCAAATGGAGAGCTTTGAGCTGTGTTAAAGCCACCATTCCTCTGCAGGGCAAAGTCACAAAATAAGACCATGAATCCATTTGGTGCTTTTCACAGCCAGCACAAGCATTTTAGTGCTGAGGTGTAACACAAAGAACTGGGGTTTCATTACTCATAGCAACAACAGTGCTATTATTATTTGATAATAAAAAAAAGTTCCTTAATAAAAGGAACCCCAGGGTCCACTCCTGGGGTGACACCTCCAGGGTCAAACTTTGTTTTGTATCTCATGAAAGTCACATCAGCTTGAGTTACAACAAAACATTTCCCTGCAATAGTTCCATTTGAATCATTTCTGTATCAATGTCAGAGAATCATGGAATATCCTGAGTGGGATGGGACCCCAAGGATCATGAAGTCCCATCCCCGGCCCTGCCCAGACCTCCCAGCAATCCCACCCTGTCCATCCCTGGCAGTGCTGTCCAAACACTCCTGGAGCTCTGGCAGCCTCGGGGCTGGGACCATTCCCTGGGGAGCCTGGGCAGTGCCAGCACCCTCTGGGGGAAGAACCTTGCCCTGATCCCCCACCCAAATCCCCCTGGCCCAGCTCCAGCCATTCCCTGTCCCTGGGAGCAGAGACTGGAGCTACCCCTGGGGAGGAGCTGCAGCCCCAGTGAGTCTCCCCTCAGTCCCCTCTCTCCAGTAGCTCAGCAGGCAAAGAGAAATTCACAGTATTTAATCCTTGTGGGTTATTTTGAGGAGGAACATCAGCCCTTTCATGAGAAGTTTTTATTACCTCATTAAAACATCAATTGATAATGAGAAAAACCAGTGAGTCACAGAATATAAATCATTTTAAGAGAGAGAAATTCTTCTCTAGGAATGAAGTCCACTATGGAAAGAAAAAAGCTTTTACTATGTTTTGTAGTTTTTATTTTAGGGAAAGGAGTTGAAGAAAAAAAGGATCTTTAAGTGCAGACAAAGTATATTCACATGCAGTTGCTCCTGGAAAACACACTGCAGAAATAGGAACACTGAAGCAGAAATCTCTACCACCAGAGAGCACTCACATTTAGGATTTCTCCCACCTGACAAACACTCCAGTCAAAAATAAAACTGTTCTTACCGAGGAAATGATGCAACTTCAAATGCACTCAGTACAAATAAAGAAAAGTTAGTTGGCAAGACTTGGAACCCACACTCCCAAACAACATCTGCAGGACTGCACCGTTACAAAAAGACGCCCCCCAGGCCCCCGCCTGAGCACTCCCATAGACAGGGAATTCCTAATTCATCACTGACATGGAACTCCTCTGCTCCAGATGCCAAAGAGCCCTCGGGGGAGCACTGCCAGCCCTGAGCAGGGGTAAGGGCTCCTCACTAACCCACTCTGCCACTCCATGCCCATCTGTCCAACATCCCAGGGACACAGCATCTGCTGGGCAAACACAGCAGGTCACTGTTTGCTGCTCAAGGAGAGCTCAAGTGCAGGTATTGGCATTCTGGATCATTTGCTACTGGAAAAAGCCCTAAAAGCCCTTCTCTGGTCCTGGACTGCTCTGTCCTCAGCACTGCTCACAGGCTGGCAGCACATTGTGCTTTACAGGCACACCAAAGCTTTACCCACTAGCAGGTGCTCCCTGAAGCTCCTTGGGCTCAGCCCTTCCTGATGCTCCACAGGTCCCTCAGGACAGACCCTGCTCAGTCAATCACAGCACAGACACACACTGAGTTTGGCTGTGCAGCAGTGCCTTAAAGGAAAGGAAATGTTAGGGAAAACCAAATAATTCAGGACAGGATCAGGAGTGCTACAGCTGCCTCAGCTGTGCTGGTCTGCAGCAAACCTAGAGAATCAAAACTTGTGGTTTCAAACTATTCTCTATTCTCATCTTATTTGTGAAGTCCAAAGCACAAAGTGAAATACTGAGCATGAGAACAGCTTTTTCTTCCTCCTCTGTGCGTGGGAAGCTGCACACCTTTACTATGTGGAGCAGGGACAATTCCTTTTCCTGTTGTAAACATCCCATGTGGTTTGGGTTACTCTCCCAAATGAGGTAACAAGCCTCAATTATTTTTTTCCATGAAATATATACATTAAAAGTCCATGACTGCAGGCTTTGAGTCCATTATCTTTGCAAACCTTCGTGGAGACATTTAATTAAAACTTGTGTTCATGAAGAGATGCTCATGGACAGCCAAGGATGGGCCTTTAGGATGTGTTCACTAAGGAAGGGAATTTAAGCAGATTTCTGGCAGTGAAACCACACCTGGTTTGTAACTGCAAGAATGAGTAGCCTGCACTCACCCAAGGGAACAACCCC